ACTTCTGTGATTCCAGAACACACAGAAATGCCAAGGATTGACTGTTTTCACATCAGCATCAGACCCCTTTCAAAATTTGTCCCTCGTATCCCCATCCTTGCTGAGGTGTCAGTAAATACCTGCTCTGACTCAAATCCACAGGTCAACATGCCTGATCTCTTCCCATCCATGATTTAATCTGAACTCTGACATTTCCAACACWCACACACCCCACTGGGATGGTTTCTGGTTTGGACACAGTCTCTGTTTAGGGGCTCTCACCTCTTGGATGTGATATTGTATTTGTTCTGTTGTGACAGCATGTAGAAAACCCAGTCCTGAAATGAAAGTGCAATGATCACAGTCACCTCCTGCAGGTTTAGTACTGTTTGAGAAAGGACTAAATGAGGGGTGGGTGTGGTGCTGGGCACTGGGACACCTCTCTTACCTCAGAGACAGCAGAGGGCCAGCGGGAGTAGCCAGCTGAGAGCTGATATTCTGTCATYCTGCAGGATGAGAGGCTGTGTTAGCTGCTGACACTGCAGGAGCCACGGGTCTGCCATCCCCAGACACCCCTGAAATTCCCTCCCATGGTGAAGTTCCCCCATTTCCCACCATGTGGAATGCCCAATCCTTGGGAGATCATCCCTAAGCCAGCCCTGATGCTCCCTTAGCTCCAGCCTGATGTGGGGAATGCCATTTCAGCTTAAACTCAAGCTTTGCCCTGCTCAGTGAACTCTCTCCAACTTTTATAGGAACAGTTTCCAGCCTTCCTCACTGCCTGGTGACCAMACTTACTTGCAGGGTTTGCGACACTTGTGGAAACAGCCCAGCACGTCRGCTTTGAACTCAGCCAGGAGTTTGTAATAGCAGTAGCCTGAASAGCAAAGAAATGAGCAATCTTTAGACAAAAGGTGATGGGTGACAGCGAGGGCAGTCCAGAAGAGGTTTCCTTCCACAAGGGGCTGATTATCCAAGACAAGARTGTCCTGTGGATGTCCCAGAGCAGGGAATCATCAAAGACAATGAGCTGTGCTGGAGCAAA